CCCCACCAGAGAGGTGACATTCCATGTCCTGATTGCCAGCCTTGGTAGCCAGGGATCGGTCCACCAGTGGCCGCCACCCAGCACACAACACACCGCCTATGCTGCCTCCTGTGGGTGGTGGACCTGCAGCAGGATGGGCCCATGTCCTTTTTTCGGGCTGTCCTCTGCCAGGCCCCACGGACTAAGGCCTGGCACCCTCCCCAGGCCTGGCTCCAGGGTGGGGCCCTGGTAACCCTAGCAAGCACACATACTCCTTTCTTAAATTCTCTACACTTGGTCTTAGTAGATCTTTCTAGTAGATTTACTACAGATCACCTGAGCCAGGACCAAGATGTTCTATCCAAGTTTCTTACTAAGCACGCTGCTGCTTACAGTTTCCAATCACAGGTTCAGAGTTTGTTAGTTCTTCCTTGTACGAGGGTAAAGACTGAGGGCAACAGAGCTCCGTAGTTTGTGGCGCCAAGGTTATGGAGCAGTCTGCCTCTACAATTACATTTATCTGACTCTGGAGACCTTAAAGCAGTTAATTTCTGTTTTTGCTTAACCAGGTCTTCAGTTGAGACTTTTACTGATAGTTGCTGTTATTAAAATGCTTGTTTACATTATTCTGTGCTTTTGTATGGCTGTTAACGGCACATTAATTTTCTATTATATTTTAATCCGACTTGTTTTACTCTGTTTTGTTGTATAGTGCTTTGTGTCTGTGAAAAGTTTATGGTCACTTTAAAAAACAGCTGGGTGATGTGTTGGTTGCAACCATCGTTTGTATAATTATCCATACACTGTTTAAGGTTTCGTGTTTGTTTGAATTTCTGATTGATTTTTACCTCCAAACAGATTTAAACCTGAAGTCTATCCATACAGAGATCATTTCTATGATAGTTTCATTTTACTTCTTATTGTTTGAAAAATAACTGACTATAATTTACATCTGATATTTCTGTGTAATGTCTGAAATTTGTGATGGTTTTTGTGTTTCAGATGTTTTTTTTCTTTTCTGCTTAACATGAAACTTCAATGTTAATAATTTAAACTTTGATCCTTTAAAGAATATTTGAATATTGATCATTTAAATGATGACTCAGTTTTTAAAAAACTGATCATTTTGTTATTGAGTATAATACATTTAATGATTTACTTTTTAATACTTTAACATTCGTGTTATCAGCATTCAGTGATTTAATGTTAATTTTGAACACTGATGACTACAATATTGA